CATGTGATAAGAGCTAGAAACCCTCGTCCCTCTCCTTACCTCCCCGACACACCCTGTAGGCTTAATGACAATTTTCTCAGCAAAGAAAATAGGCCTACGCACGAGTGAAAACTTTGTGTAGACATCAATAAGCTTATTCATGAAAAAGTACACAGATGCAGTAGGCCTATACTTAAATGCTCATCTGTATTGCCTAGAAACTGTTACTATGGTAAATTTTGAGGGAATCAGCGATGCCCCAGGGTCTTTCCACTTCTGGGCAACTCTTACAATGCTAGTCATTTATTCCTTTCGTGTACGCCACCCAATAACACTATTTTGGAGTTGGACCTCTGTTTCTTCAAATTTCGCTTCTTCTGTAAACGGTGGCGCGGCGCCAGAGAATTTGCAACAAGGGGTTCAAAAGTTCCGAAAAGGGGCTCGATTTCCATTTGGTCAAAAAATCTGACCAGCGGGTGCAAAGGACTGTGTACCGGTATGATTCCGTGAAGTCAGGGGGTAACGCCCTGTATGGATTATGCACAGAGCTGGAATATACCAGGCAGAACAAAGGTTTAAGACATTTTTTTGAAACACTGGTAGCGATAATTCACTGTCAACTATGAAAAAATAAAAATATATTAAAGGGATATATTAAAGAGAATTTAACAATTTTATGATTTTTAAAAATGGTGCAACAATGTTTCAATTTGGGTTCAAATAAAAACATCTCCCACAGACTCCACCCTCGTCCGGTTGCGCATACACAGCATGCCCCACACCCACTTTCAGCAATGTTTCCCCGGAAGCGATTTTTTTTTTCCGTACGAAACATTTACATGAAACTCCACTCGGGCCGTCTCGGCTGAATCGACCCGAAAATCTCATTGCAGAAATCAGGAGGTCAAAAGGTCATCAACAGATAAACGTCTACAAAACAACTTCTGAGAGAACGCCGCTGTCTAATTTTTAAAACATTGTTACCATGTTAATACCAATGGGTCGTTTAAAATGACATATAATATTTGATTAAGCTGCACGAGTAATGAAAAGTGTTATTTTAACTTGAGTTACATACTATGACAATTATAATTTTTTAGTTAGGCCTGGGTTTTGCATAATTACCTAGGCCCACTAGTACTAAAAACGCTTTCTGGGAAGCACAAAGAGTAAGGAAAAGCGCGTTTTTCTTCATCAAATGAAACAGGGTGACAGTTATTTTCAAATTAAGAGAAGAGCTGAGAATAGGCAGCTCTAAAATTCTGGATGCCATAAGACCTGCCAAAATGGCAGAGCACCAAATGAATGTAAAAATGAGCTAGTTATTAATATTAGGCATAGTAATCGGCAGGTTCTTGATTACAAGGCTAGACCAAGTTAATTAACATGTAATGCCGAAATGATTATTATTAATTATTATTACCTGTACGTTAAGGGGAACTTAGACAATGGAGGAATTAGAGAACAATTTAAAAAACCACGTTAAGGGGAAATAACACAACAGATATTCCCCTTGAGCTAGTTGTTATTTATAGGCCTAGTAAATAGTATCTGTAGGTTCTTCATTACAAGCCTTAGGCCAAGGTAATTAATGCTGAAATTATTATTATTATTATTATTATTAATTATTATTATTACCTGTACCTTAAGGGGAATTTAGACAATGGAGGAATTAGAGAACAATTAAAAAAAATGACGTTAAGGGGAAATAACACAAAAGATATTCCCCTTGGGCGATTATTTATTATTACTAGGCCTATTTATAGTAAAGTAAGGTATCTGTAGGTTCTTCATTACAAGACTTAGGCCAAGGTAATTAATGATGATGATGATTATTATTATTATTTAACATTAATTACATTACAATGATAGTTTGGACAAGTTCAATAACGCCGGAATGGTATATTATTTATTTAATAATATTTCTCTTATGCGCTCTATTTTTCATTTCATGCTTCAATTTTGTCCTATTTTTCCCCCCAAAGTTTCAGTCAATGTTAGTATGTTGGTCTCTAGCCTTTGGTATTACTGTACCTATCTACACTTTATAACAGGAGGTACTAGCTGTTGTTGTTGTAGATAATATACTAACATTTAATAACATCCAAGAAGGTCACAGTTAGTTACACACGTACATCCCATAAGTCCGTGAGATTTCATAGGCCTACCGTAGGTAAACGTAGAAAGAGCAGGGTTGCCAGATAGTCAACAGGCTTCACGGCCAAACACACGCCATCTCACGGCCAAATTCGGCCAAACTTTTTTTCGATATCGGCCAAAATTCGGCCAGATTTTAATCCGATTAGAAGACAACAGTGGGTACATTCATTTGAAATACTACAAAAATTATACGAAACTCAGCGGTCATTCGTTTGAAATTGAAGAAATTAAATTGATATACACAGAACAATGTTAAAAATAAATAGCCTATATAGTTCTTTAGTTGCTGGCATGCAGGCCAATTCAGGGGCAAATCCAGAGATGTCCGAAAGGGTGGGGACCGGGGGCGAAAGTGGGTCCGATCGAGATGACACCATCTTAGAAGAAATTTGTCTTTTCTAGACGCCCGAAAATAACCTGATGCGTTTGGGCAATCAATTTTTTTTTTACCACCCCTCCTCCTTAAATCCACCTCTGCTATTTAAAATCACAAT